CCCCCCTCTGCAGGGACCACGGGCGATGGACAATCAGGCCTCCCTGGACAGACCAGAGACATGGATCTAAGCACAGCTCCTGCTCCCTCCCCAGATCTAAACATTCCCTCAGCGTTTGTTTGCAATCGTCACTCTGGGTAGTTGATGCTGCCTTTATACGGCGGATTCATATCTTTTACTCACAACTTCTGATTGTGAAGTATTAAAACCATCAGCTTAAGCGACCACATCCAGCAAGGACAAAGTCCTACATTTCAATCCCTTAACCCTAAGACAACCTGGCTGCTTTCCTCTTCTGTCCTAGCCCTGACCTTAAAATGTATTTTGCTATCAGAATTACGTGGGGGATGTGACGTTTTGTGTATTTGTATTATACATCCCACACCAGAGACATGAGGCTTTTACAGACTAGTGCACGTTGCTGTCCCCAGTGAGCACTGCACTAATCTGAGCACACACATCGGGCTCCCTCGGGGTCACCTTCAGGGAGCAAAGGCTGGTGGCCAGCACTGAGGTCTGAAACCCCCAGAGTCCTTGCATCTGACATTTGCTCTGAGATCAGTAATGAAGACGAGTAGGGGGCACAGTTATCATTTACCACTTAGATCCTGGTCCTTCAAGAGCAGAAGTTGTCTCTCTTTTGAGGTGTGTTTGTGTGGTGACAGGAGGAGTTTGAGTGATTCACAACTGAGCCCACAGGCAGGTCGGGGCCAGGAGGACACAGGCCGTGAGTTGGGGGCTGCAGGCCGGGGTGCATGGCCACACGGGCAACACAGCCCCCCTGGACCAGTAGATGTGGGCAGACAGATTCGGGGTCACAGGAGCTGACCATGTCAGAGGAGGGAGCATCAGGGATTGCCCCCATTCTCTGGCTGTTTGGGGTTCCCCTTACCTGCCTGGGGTAAGGCCACCATGAACACAATATATCTGCAGTGGGGTCACCTGCCCGTACCCTGACCAGAGGACCTGCTGTCCCTCAGCCCCAGATTCCACTCTGATGAGTCAGCAGATCAAGGCGGATTTGGTGAGCTCCTGTCAACATGATCAGAGAAGCAAAAGAAGGTTCCCCAGTGGAGCAGAGGCCTGGTGGCTGTGCAGGATCAACCAGGAATCAAGGACACGCCGGCAGCAGGGCACCAGAGGTGTCACTCACTCCCC